CATGGGAGGAGGTGACCCATCCTTCTGCTGTGGAGCATCTGGGGGATTTGAACTGTATACCTTTAGGTTACCAGCACAACTCCTTACCATTAGGCCACCAGGGCTCCCTTTCTCCCTCACTATGTGTATATATATCTAGAAATAGAATTTTTAATATGTAATATTAGTTACTTTTATCTCTGCATCCAGCCCCTGCAGCTCCTTACCTCTTTCTTCACCCCCTATGCCCCTGAACCTCTGCTTCCTGGTGATTTCCTCTTCTCTGCTCTGTACCCTTCCTCTCCCTCAGCGGGGTTTGATCTGTTGCTCACAGGGCTGCTGTGAGTCCCCACTGACTGGACAGTACATCACAAAGACAGCTCTCTGCCCCAGGGCCCTGCTGGTTTGCCTGTTTACCAGTGACGGTCCCTGGGGCTGTGACCAAGGAACTCTGGACTGGCTGTCCAGGCCCTGCCTAAGCTCTGGGATTTGCAGCTGGACATGGGGCCATCCTGGCCACGTGCCATGCTACCTTGTTGAGATGGTTCCCATGGCACCCCACCCAGACATGGGCCCCCTCCATGTGCCCATCAGCACTCATTAGTGATGTTTGTCTGAGTTGTGTCGTATCAGGCTCTGTGCATGACCTCTGCTGGCGCCTGGGACCAGGGAGGGATCTGTGCTGATGTGCATGGAACTGTGGTGGGCCAGAGGTGTCCCAGTGACACGTGGGTGACAAGTGGTCTTTGCTGGGGGGCTTGGCAAATCTTTTATTTTAAATAATTTCCAAATGGCAGAGAAGGTGCCAGAGCGGAGCCAAGGCTCCAGGCACCGTGACCAGGGCAGCACGGACAACTCCACAGTCTTGTGGGGGTCAGCACTGTCCACACACCGTCCTGCCTGAGAATCCTAATGTGATGATCAGATGCAGTACAGAGTCCGGCTGGCTGTGGCCTCACACACATACTGCCTGCCCTTAGGACCCTCTGCATCCTGCAGGTGCATTTTTGTCCCCTCTGTGCCAGCTGTCGGGCATGGTCAGGAAAATAGCAAAAGCGACTCCACCTTGGATGTGCACCTTGCCCCTCCTCAGTCGCTGTGTTCTCTCTGACTTCACCCTGAGTCCTCTTCCTCACTGCTGCGGTCAGTCACAGCCCTGCACTCTACAGATGTCCTCCTCATCCGACCATTGGGGCTCAATGCTAGGCAAACCCAACCCTGGGGCTGAAGACAGAAGATGAAGGGAGGGGTGCCCCTGCCCTTGTGGCCAAGCCTGTGACCCGAGTTCTTCAGTCCTCCCTCTCCTGTCTGTAGCCAATGGTAAGGGACCTTGATGGAGCCATGAGATGACATAGCCTATCAGCTGTCACTTCCTGATGAAGACCCTCTTCCCTCCGGTGCTGACTGGGCGAGGGACCGCATCCCTGCAAGGAAGGGACTTCACTTTGGGATCTCACTGTGACCCTTGACACTGTTGACCCAGCGTCCCTCAGGTCTGTTGTCTTGGTTAGAGTTTCACTAACACAGTCATGACATGGGGTTCAAATCCACCAGCTCCTCCACCGGAGAGAGACCATGAGCGATTTCCTGCTTCTGAAACCTGCTGGAGGGTCAGCATCCCCTCGGCGATGTAAAAGACCCTGAGTCACACGGACCGAAAAATGGAGCTATACGTGTGCCACCCCAGCAGTCCTGGGCTGCACCTCAGGTGGTGGGGCAGTGAGGGGGATGGGAGCACAGGTCTCAGAAAACAGTGATCCCAACCCCTTCTGCTCTAGCTGCATGGTCAGTAAAAAGCGAATGTTTGTCCACACACACTCCGTGTCCACATACTCACCCATCCACACACCCCGTCCACACCCCCATACACTCCCCATCCCCATCCACACACCCATTCACACACCCATCCACATACCCCCGTCCATACCTCCATATACTCCCCATCCACATCCACACCCCTCATCCACACACACATATACAGACATATCCATCCACACCCCCATCCGTACCCACACAACCCATACACACACACACCCTGTACCCAGCCCTCATCGACACACACAAAGACACACCCATCCACACATCCACCTCCACACCCCCATCCACACACATACCAATCCATCTACATAACCTCCACCCATACACCCTGCCACCCACACACACACTCCATCCACACACATACCCATCCACACCCCGTCCCCATCCACACACCACATCCACACACCCCCATACATAGCCCTCATAGACACACACATAGACACACCCATCCACATCCCCATCCATACACACACCCCCATACACACAACTTCATCCACACACATCCACATCCCCCCTTACATACCCCATCCATATCCACACACCCCATCAACACCCCTCATCCACACATACACATATACACCCATCCACACCTGTACACCCCATACATACAGACACACACACCATCCACACCCATGCACCCATACACATACACAATCCCGTCCACACCCCCAATACACACCTCTCATACACATCCACACCCATCCACACCTCCCCGTCCACACCCTCATCCACACCCTCATCCAGACACACATATACACACCCCCCTCCACACCCCCCTCATAAATACCCACACACCCCATATACACCCCCATACCCTCCATGCCCCCATACACAGCCCTCATCAACACACACATAGACACACCCGTCCACACCTGTACATCCACAAACCTCCCCATCCACACACACTACCATACACACTCACAAACTCCAGACACACACAACCCCCACCAACACCCCTTCCCATCCACACACCCTCCATCCACACCTACACACTCTATCCACACTCCCAATACACCCCGTCCATATCCACACACCCCACCACACCCCTCATCCAACTTTCCCATACACCCTCTCCTTCCACACATACCGCCATCCACACCCACATACACACATCTACACCCATCCACACACCCTCTCGTTCACACACACCCCTCTATCCACACGCACACACCCCATGCCCATCCACACCACACCCCCCCACTCCATCCACATACCCCCATCCACACTCACACACACCCATTCACACCCCCATCTGCACACACACACACACGCATGCACACACAATCCACACTCACCCACATCTACACCCACACACCCCATTCACCCACAAACACCCCTCGCACTCTATCAGCTGTCTGGATGTCCTCCATTGCTGCAGACCCACGGTCATTTCTATGTGTCCGTGGGGCTGAGCGGGAAGGCAGGGTGAGAGGGACTACAGCAGAGGTTTGAGCTGGGCAGGACTGGAGGCTGGAGGACAGACTGGGGGACAAGTTTAGGCAGGGGGTAGATGAGCGATTGCAGGTGGGTGGGGGAGGGCCAGCGAGGCTAGCTTGGCTCTGAGGGACCAAGGCTTTCCCAGAGAGGTCAGTGAATTGTGGGGGTCAACTAGCACTTGGACTTGAGGCCTCTGGTGGGAGGGACGCGGGTCGGGAGCAGATACCGCTGGCATCTGGCCTCAGCTTCCTGGAGAGGCCTGAACCCACACCAGCCCAGACAATGACCCTTTGATCTGTACAGCCCTGGCCAGGGCACACAGACCACAGCGAGGTCAGTTTTTGGACAAGGTCACACTGTGCAGCCCCCACACCCTGAGTAAGAACACAGGGTCTCTGCCCAGCTAGCTTCCTCCATCTGGGGAGATCCCCCGAGATGCAGGGCCAAGGTCAGGCCGAACAGTCAGCGCCATCTTTGGTCAGGGCCCCTGGGTCAGTCTGGGTGCCTGGGCGGAGAAAGGGCGTGGGCATGGCTCAGCAGGCAGGTCCCACAGTGGCCGGACAGGCTGTGCCCAGGTCCGAGGAGCACTGGATGCAGCTCCAGGCCATGTGCGAATGCTCTCTGTCCTATTACATACACGCACCATTTTCTGCAAGTACATAGTGACTTGCTTTTTTTTCTTTGATGGAACTGAAAGCTGTGAACACAGGGAAGCATGGCTGCCTCGGGTCCTGATGCCTGGACAGCAGTCATTCCTCACAGGCACAACCAGAGGATGGCTGGGTCCCTGCCCCTCCAGGACTTCAGGACGTCCTGACTTTCCCAAGGTCCCAAGCACGGCAGGCTGACTTCTGCGACGACAGGGAGAGCAGAGCCTCAGACATGTTAGCAGACATGGCTCTCAGGCCTCGTCCATCACCAGGAAACGATGCTCCTTGGGTGGGCCCGCTTCCAGGACATGGAGCATCAGACCAGTAACTGTCTCTCTGCATGGCTTGCAGGCCCACTGGCAAAGGTTCAGGAGCTGTGTCCACCTGGGGGGTGAGGGGACAACAACCTGCAAGAAGTGGGCACTTGGGGATGCTTCTCCTGCCCTTCTTCCAAGCCCACACCTGCACTCCCTTGTTCACATGGCTGCACCCCTCGGCCTGTGCTCTTCGGCTCATGAGGCTGCGCCCCTGCCTGCGCTCCCTTTGTTCACACGACTGTGTCCTCAGTCTTGTTCACGCAGCTCTGCCCAGTGGTTCAGGTGGCCTCGTGGGTGGCCTGCAGGTGTGAACAGGGTGGTGACCTGGCAAGCTGGGCGGGGCAGCTGAGGGTCCAGGAATCTCGCGCAAACCTAGGCCCATACCCAGTCCCCAGGGCCGCTCGCGTGCTTTCAGGGCATAGCCCAGCACCAGCCGCCCAGCGACCCCCTGTGGACTCGTGCCCCAAAGGCTGTGTGAAGCACGGAGGCCGCGACCCTCAGTGCTCCCCGAGGGACGGCCACAATTTGGCCCAGGCCCCTATTTCAGCCGCACCTTCCCAGATGCATTCCCTGGCTCCCAGACCGGCCCCGCCCCTGCTCCCAGCGCCACCCCGGGTCGCCAGGCCCAGCCCCTGCACACATCCTTCTGCAGCCGGGCTCCGACCGACCCGACGCCCCGCCCCGGCCCCGCCCCGCCCGCGGGACCTTTATAGGGAGCGCCGGGCGCTGCGCAGGGAAGTTGGTGCCGCCGTCCGCCCCCCGCCCCGCCGCCCGCTACTGCCGCCTCTCAGCCACCGCCATGCGTCCAGGGGCGCCCGGCCCACTGTGGTCACTGCCCTGCGGGGCCCTAGCTTGGGCTGTGAGCTTCGTGGGGTCCTTGAGCTTGGGTGACCCAGCACCCGGTAAGTGGGGTTGCGGGAAGGGCCGGGCGCGTGGGCCACCCACGTGGGCCCGCTCGGAATGCGTTTGGAGGTGTTGGGACGCCTAGAGGCTGTGGCCTGAGCGGTTTTCCGCAGAAGAGCTTGGGGCGCCCCACCCCCAGCCCCGAGGGCTCACAACAGGGTCACCGGGAGGTCAGTGGGTAGACGTTTCCTCCTGCGATTATCGATTCTAGTGGTCTGATGGGCGCTGGGGTGTCTGGAGTGCAAAGTGTCAGCCCTTAGCGCCTGGGACCCACACAACAGCCGGGCAGCTGGTATCCTGGGCCCTGGAGGGGCTCAGCAGCTAACGTGTGTAAGAGGCAGCATCAGAATTCGAACTTGCAGCCGTGGGTTCTTGTGCAATATTGAGTGCGGGACTCTGGGCCTTCAGCTGGGACCCTAGGTCTTCCCGAGTTTGACACGGACATACCGAGGGTTTGGAATGTCACACCTGACACTTAGGGGATGCTGAGCAAGTGACCCCCACTTCCTACCTCAGTTTCCCCTTGGGGAAATGAGCACTGGAGGCTGGGTTTCTGGAGCCCCGCAGAAGGTGTGCACCCATGCCCAAGAGTTGAGTGCCTAGGATGGGGGCAGTGGCTGTTTCCGCCCCCATTTGAGGGGGACACTGGAGGCCATCTGCTGCCACCCTCTCCCACCCTGGCACTCCCAGTCCAGCCCGCCCCACGAGCAGAGCCCCCTCCCCGAAGGCTGTCCCCAGGGAGCTGGTGAGCTCATGCAAGGAGAATGTTCCCAAGTTGGAGTGAGTAAGAAGCGGGCCAGGCGAGGGGGGGCTCCAGACGAGGGGGGCGCTGGGCCCTCGGGTGCCATCTAGACACAGGGCAGAGGCGTGAGAACAATTTGGGGGACCACTAACCCCGCAGGTCAGTCCCTAGTTCTGTCTAGGTGGGTGGGGTGCCAGGGGGAGCCAGAGGAAAGAGTGGGAGCTGGGGGGATGGGCCGGGATTGACACCCAGAGAGAGGGCTCCCCGGTTTCCTGAGCTAGGGGCACCTGTGAATCTGTCTCCGCCTCTCCTTTTGGTTGCGGGCAGGCCACCTCTGCTGTCAGAGCTGTGTGTAGCCTGAGGGCCAGGAGCAGAGAGCCGCTCCATGTCCAATGTCCAATGGAGGTGGGGAAGGCCAGCGTCCAGCAGCCCAGCAGGCAGTGCTCCTGCCTCTGTGAAGCAGCCCTCTCCTCCATCCACAGGTGGGGTGTGCTGGCTCCAGCAGGGCCCAGAGGCCACCTGTGGTCTGGTGCTGGGTACAGACGTGAGCCAGAAGGAGTGCTGTGCCTCAGGCAGCGTAGACGTGGCCTGGTCCAACCTCACCTATCCTGGGAACAAGATCAGCCTGCTGGGCTTCCTGGGCCTGATCCACTGTGTGCCCTGCAAAGGTGAGCACTCAGGCTGGGCAGGCAGCCAGAGTGGGCACTGGGATGGGTGGCCCTCTTGGGCAGAGGGGCCCTGCCCCAGGATTGGGTGGGAAACCTCCTTTCTCTTTGGTTTGGTGGGTTCAGGAAGGTGTATAGGACGTCCTTTCCCAGCTGCACCTGGAGGAGGTGAGTGTGGTTCACACCTAACTCCCAGAAGGTGGGTCTTCCTGACTGAGCCAGGGGTCTGTGTCTGAGACTCTGACCTCTGACTATGCTTTCTCCATGAGACTAGCAGAACCCCGAGGGCCACCTGAATGAGTGAGTGTGCCTAGGAACAGCCCAGAGGAGGTTATAGGGTACAACTTGAAGCAAGTGGGTATTGGAGTTGGGGTTCTAGGGGCTGGTTAGGAGTTTGCCACCAGAGAAGAGACTAGCCAATGAGCAGCAGCATACGCGCTGGAATGGGGTGAAGCCCAAGAAGGGGGCAGGGAGGAGCAGAGCTCAGGGATCCAGACCCACCAAGGTACTGGGTACAATGAACCCCGTCTGGGCCTGGCTACTTCTCTCCAGACCACCCTCCTTGGTTTGGGGAGGACGACAGACTTAAAAAACTGGCTGTTTGAGCAGGAGATGCCATGGGCACCCCACTGTCCTGACAAGTGCCTCATCTGGCCCCACTGGCTTGCCTTCCGCTCATGGTGGCCCGAGGCCGAGAGGACAGCTTCCAGATGTGGGTGTAGGCGGCTGGCTTGGAGGGCCCAGGTGCGGCCCACATGCCCTGGCAGCACGCCGAAGTGGGGGCTGGCCTTGTGTGGCCAGTGATGCTGGCTGTGTCCCCATATGATGCTTGGCACCCCTCCCCCCCGTTAGGGCGACTTCCTCATCAGCACCACTTCACACATGGGGGAAACTGAGGCTGGGGACAAACCTAGACCTTGTTTTCAGGCTCCATCCTCCAGCCACAAACAAAAGAACTGGGGGGGGGGGAGGGGTGTCCTCTGTCCTGAAGCCCCTGTGTTTTGGGAAATAGCCCCTGCACCAGTGCTGAGATGCCCTCTTGAGTTTGGAAAGTGGGCTGAGTAACCTTTAGTGGGCTAATTTGCATTGCCAGGGAATTGCATTTCAAACAGCAGCATGAATCCCTAAGACCTCAGTTTTGCCATCTGGGAAATGGGTCTGGGGAAAGGCCTTGGGGAGTAGAAGGCCCCTCCCCAGCAAATGTGTCCGGTCGGCGCCCTGTCAGAGGGGCCCCCTCCAGGGTGGTCCTGGAAGCCGTGGTTAACAGCCCCTGTTCTCCTAAGACCTGTTCCTGGACGGGGCGGAGTCCCCCCACCCCCTCACCCGCTGACGCAGCAGGGCCCCCCGCTGGCCTTCCCAGAAAGAGCATAAATCAGGGAACAGACGTCAGCTCTTGTGGGGTGGCCCAGCCAGAGGGGGCAGATTAGGGGTGGGGAGCCAGAGGCTATCCTGGGCCCAGACAATGTGGGAAGAAACCCCCACCCCCTTCGCACTCCCATTGACCTCATGACTGCAGATTCATCCCAACCCTGGACGGCGCCCCAACTCCAGAGAGTGGGTGTGCTTAGGGTCCAAGGGCTTCTCTGTACCTCTGCCCACGTGGCGTGGCGTGTGCCCACAGATTCGTGCGAAGGCGTGGACTGTGGCCCGGGCAAGGCATGCCGCATGCTGGAGGGCCGGCCCCGCTGCGAGTGTGCCCCGAACTGCACCGACCTCCCTGCGCGCCTGCAGGTCTGCGGCTCTGATGGCACCACCTATCGTGACGAGTGCGACCTGCGTGCCACGCGCTGCCGAGGCCACCCAGACCTGCGTGTCATGTACCAAGGCCATTGCCGCAGTGAGTGGGGTGGGGCCAGGGCTGGAGGGGTTGTACGTGGGCGGGGCCAGAGAGGGTGTGTGTGGGGGCCCTGCAGGGGCGGGATCGGAGGGGGGTTGTGCGTGGGGTGGGGCCTGCAGGGGCGGGGCCAGAGAGGATGTGGGGGCCTGCAAGGGCGGGGTCGGAGGGGACTGTGTGGGCGGGGTCTGAAGGGCCGGTCAAGAAGGGGCGTGGCCTAGATTGGAGGGGCTGGTATGGGGCGTGGCCCGGATTGGAGGGGATATGAAGGGGCGGGGCCCAGATCGGGGGCGTGGTCAGGATGGAGGGGCTGCGTGCCTGAAGGGGCGGGATCGGAGGGGCTGTGAAGGGGCGGGGCCTAGAGGAGGTGTCCGTCTGGAGGGGGAACCAGAGGGTGGGGCCTGAAGGATCTTGGGCTCAAAAGCGATATCCAACCAGGCAGGAACTTGGGGTTCTGGCTGTAGATGAGGTCCCACCTTGGTGGTCTCAGGTTGCACCCTGACTGTCTCATTCACCTGCAGAGTCATGTACACACGTGGTGTGCCCATGGCCACAGTCATGCGTCGTGGACCAGACGGGCAGTGCCTACTGCGTGCTGTGCCGCTCTGCACCCTGCCCGATGCCCTCCAGCCCTGGCCAGGAGCTGTGCGGTAATAACAACGTCACCTACAGCTCCTCATGCCACCTCCGCCAGGCTACCTGCTTCCTGGGCCGCTCCATCGGCGTGCGTCACCGCGGCAGCTGCACGGGTGCGTGGGCTCAGACGCCTGGGGGTGACCATACGCAGGCGGTCGGGCGTGGGACTGGGGGCACACAGGTCTGTTGGGGTGACGTCTGGCAGGCCTAAGCCCAGCCCTGATCTTGCCGCCCGCATCCTCTCTCTCCTACAGGGGCCCCTCAGCATTTAGACACCGAGTCAGAGGAGCAGAATTTTGTGTGAGCGCGAGGCCCCACCCCCAACCGCGTTTATTTATTACTACAGCAGAATCTAATTTATATACCACGGACACTCGTGCAGAGGCCCTGCCCACAGCATCTTGGGAGCGGCCATGGCCTCCACCCGCGGAGGACCCTCTCCTAGCACCCCGCTGAGGGCTTGCAGGCGACCACCCTTGAGGGTGCTTCTGGCTGGCGCCTAGGAGCTGCCTTGCTCTCAGTCGGGGGTTGCAGAGAGCCATGGACAAAAGAGAGTCTATGTTCAAGCAGGCCCCAAACATCTGGCCCCCACCTGCTAGATTCCAGATTTTCACCTTCCACTCTGCCTCAGTTTCCCCATTATACCCTGCCAAGGCCTCTGGGAAGGCGGAGTCTGGGCCTAGGTCAGGAATACATTGCCATGTCTGTGAGGCTGACCCTATTGACGGAGGAAGAAGCCCCGCTCACCTTTCCCAGGTGGGATGTCCTGAAGCAGGGCCTGGACAGCGCCCTCTAGTGACCACTGCCCTGTCTACGAGGCAGGGTTCAGAGACACCTGTAGCTCCTGGCCCACCAGGCTCACTGGACAGCACCCTGTCTTCTCCTGTGCCTTCTGCAGTCTAGAGGCCCAGACCAGAGGAGGGGGTTAGGGTTAGGGGGAGGGAGCTGTGTTCTTACCCTTTCTCTGTCCCTGGAAGTGCCTTACCTGTCCAGAAAGTAGCCTTGCGTCTGGGGGCCTTGCCAAGTCCCCCAACAAGGCACTGCCCCCACCTCAGTGTCCTGCCTCTCGCCAAAGAAATAAAGATCGTTAAAGCTGCTTCGACTGAACCCTGGCTTGCATCCTCTTTCTAAATCTCTGTGTCTCTGACACATGTGCTGGGCAGTCGTTGCCCCCTGGCCCTCACGTCCCCCTCTGTAGCTGACAGGGAGGGGAGGTGGGGACAAAGAATGAAGAGGATAAAGATGACTTAGAGCCACCCTGAAGGGCCAGCTAACCAGGCCCAGCGTGGAGGCTTGGCTGGTGCCCTTACAGCCCTATCAACAACGGAGGCAGCAGCTGGAAGCTCGCTGGCTTACCTGTGCTGACTGCTGTTCTGACTGTTTCTCACAGGACGGGTGTGTGTGTGTGTGTGTGTGTGTGTGTGTGTGTGTGTCTAGGTTTGAACCCAGGCCAACTCCTGACCCTGCTCTGGGTCAGACTCCGTCTGGTATCCTAGTAGCCCCTCTACCCACAGGGTCACCTGAGGCATTTCCTACCTGTTCCCAGTCTGGCTCCTACATACACAGGTGTGGGTCACTCAGCTCGAGTGGGAGGGACAGTTGAGGCTAAAGCCAGGGGCCAGCAGGGCCTTGGGGACTGGCCAGATATTACATGGAGACAGTGGAGTCCAGATGAGGTAGGGGGCCTGGGCTTGTATAAGCAATGGTCAGCAGCTATTTAGGGGGAGCCGGTGAGGATGGAGAGGGGCCGCTCAAGGTTCCCAAGTCAGGGGCAGGGAAGGGGGGTGGATCCTGGAGTTGGCAGTGGGAGCAGCTTGCACCTCATTCAGCACTTTATTCTGCAATTTTCTTTCTATGGTTTGGAGCTGATGCCCCGCCCCAGAGACTCCCCAGGAGATAGATGTTCGAGACTGGGGGTGACGTTTACTTTACTTCTGACTTGAGCATTCTGGACGTGTCTCATGCATGTGCAATGCTGTGCCCTGAGTGCCGGACAACGTCCCAGATCCAGGTGACAAAGGCAGACACCTGCGTGTACACATCCGGGTACTTGGGGTCGCCACACCAGAAGCCTGAGAAGGAGACGAGGCCGTGGGCCCTGCTCCCACACACCAGGGGTCCCCCGGAGTCAGCCTAGGGATGAAGGGAAGAGAGACCTTCATCACTAGACCTAGGGTTTTCTGAAGAAGCTGCTAAAATTAATCAGACCATGACCCTCCCTCCCTCCAAAGCCTTCAGTGGCTCCCTAGTTCTCTTAAAGCAAAGACTAAATTTCTAGTCTCAACCTTTAAAGGTCCTTCCCCAATTGGCCTCGACCTGTCCTCTTCAACCTTTGACCAGCATTCACCAGCTGCCAGCTGTGGACAACCAAACTTCAGCCTCCTGGCACTTTCCAGTTGTGGAGCTTGGCCACTGCTCCCTGCTGTACAGTGCACAACACTGGACCTGTGCCTGGGGTCTCCCACCACATGGCTCTCACTGGTGTCCCCAGCGGCCCTCCTTCTGATCTTCAGCAGACCCCAGGCAGTCTGTTCGCCAGGGCCCAGCTTCTGTCCATATCTGCTTTCCATGCTGTCCTGTCACTGCCCCCTGCTGGACACTGCTAGTACAATGCCAGCTGTGCCTTGACCAGTGCGAGCCTGAGGCCACATTCACTGTGTCCACTGCAGCCCTGCGACCCTCAGAAAGACCCTGAGCTTTCCGGGCCCCAGAGGGGCTTAGGTCTTGAGGAGGACCGCACTGTCCTTCTCAGTGACTCGGATGTCCAGGCCCAGCCCGCCCTGTTCCTTCCGGTGACTCGGTGCCCAGGTCTGCCCTGTCCCTCGTGGTGACTTGATGTCCAGGTCTGCCCTGTCCCTCGGGGTGGACCACACAGGGGCTCTTACCGAGCAGAAGCCTCGGCGCCGGTGGTCCCTGCTGCGTGTGCAGAGCATGGCGGGGCTCAGGAGGCCACCCCAGGAGCTGTTGCACGCGCCCAGGCCCAGCACGCACACCTGCGCCTCCATCAGCCCCGGGGGCGGGTCCTGGAAGTCCGACACGGAGCCCCAACCGGCCACTCGGCAGCGCGCCCCCACCTTGGGCACCGCGGCCCTCCGGGGCAGCTGCAGCGGTGCCACCTCACTGCCCAGCACGGCTGAGCCATTGAGCTGCAGAGAGAGAGGCCTCGGTCAGCGCTGGCCACCCAGGAAGAGCCATGCAGAGTTGGAAGGCCTCGACTCTGTTCCCTCAGGCAGCACCCTGCAGGTCTGTGGAGGACACCTGGGTGTCTGGTTCCTGCTTAGTTTGAATCCCGCCCCTGCACTGGAAAAGCAGACCCCTCCTTACAGAGTTATGGCCCCTGGATACCCGAGGAAACCGTCTGTGCAGGTAATGCATCTGCTGCCTCGTCTACCCTGTGACACCTGGCTCATCCTCTGGAAGTGGCCACCGGACTTACTCAGAAGGCAGGCTGCCTGGCTGCGGGCCCAGAGGCTGGTGACCTTGCCGGGCTGCCTGGATGCGGGGGGGT